CTTAAGATGTGATTTACTAAAATACCCTAATTTTAACACAATTTGTTACCTTAACTTTAATTTTTGTTATTTTTAAAGACAGGATCATTCTGGCTCCTATTTTAAAGCCGGGATTAAATTGAATTTTGGGATAATTACATACATGGCACTCAAAATATTGCCATTTACAAAATCTAGCACCTAGGTGCTATTGTTGAACTACCAAACCGTTGTATTTACGCGTATCACGATCAAACTATTGAGAATATGATAAAAATGAAAAATATGGGTTGAGTTTTTTCCATGAATTTTGATATTTGAGTGAGAATTTGAAAAATGAATGAAAGAGGGTGCTAGATTTGTAAATAGCAATGTTTCGGGTGCTTTGTATGTAATTGCCCCTTGAATTTTTTATGTAGCCTAAGACTAAAATGACCCCCGCAAAAATATTCCTTTTCTTGTAAATAACTAGGCTATAGTAAGTTTCAAATTTGGTCTTTTATGCGCTACTATAAGCCAGGACGTTCATTTCAAATGTGTGTTTTGTTCTGCTTGATGCCTTGAAATATTTCAGCTCGCAGTTGATTTAACTTACATTTTTATTTGTTATTGAGGAAATTTGAACTCTAAGCATTATTAAAATCTAATTTGGTGACAGGTTAAATCGTTGATATACTTCCATGTTAGAACTAGCTTATATTTTTCTTTGGCCTGAAATGCATTTCTGATGTTAGAATTCTTGGTCATGCAAAATGCTTAATAATAAAATCATGTCCATGGATCTATAAACTCCCAGCAACCCACGTTCTATTTCTTTTTTCTTCTGAAACCACCAAGCTGTTTGTTATATATTTGACATTTGCTTGCTTAAAAAATAGCCTTCATAGTTCAAATTTCTTCTATTTATAACTCAAGGGATTTCGTGCTTTCCGGGTCATGGAAAATGACATTTGAGAGTCTTCTCAATGCATGCATGTCTTTTGTCCTCAATAATTTTTGATCCAATTAATATTGTTCTAACCAGAACCTATAACTCTTTATGAACGAGTATCCTTTGCTCTTCCATTATGTTGATACATAGTTTGCAGGCATTTGAAATGATAAGCTTACTAATATATTCTTGTTGCCGTAGGTACATCATACATTTGCTACATCAGGATCCGATGGAGCTTTCAACTTTTGGGATAAAGATAGCAAGCAAAGACTAAAAGTATGCTTAGTATATAGAGACATTCACTTTCTTTTCATTAATTTGTTAAGGACCTACAATAAAATAGATAAAGTGTGCATCCTCTCTCTCTTTATTCCATTATCGTATGCTTTCCTGCTTTGTTGATGTCCTTGATATACTAGATCTTTTTTCTCCCAACCACTCCTCTCTCCTTGTTCTGAGTTTTTGACCTTTTTGTTTCATTAAGTTGAATAGAGTAATAAAGTTTTTATAAGGCTTTAATGTTTTGTTATCAAATTTTTTGATTTGTATGTGCAAAGTGATGACTATATCTATACGTAATATTGAAAACATATATTTGACTTCTGTACCCATAGGGAGAAACAAGCAATATTTTGAGTTATTACCTGCCAAATAGATTTTATATAGTTGTGATGTTAATGGTTACAATGAATGGAATTGTAGATGTCTCTACTAAGGGGCGATTTTGTTTGCCCCAAAAAAAAGAGAATGCAAAGTAAAAGAAGTACAATGAATTTGAATGAAGTGTATTTGAAATGCTTTAAAGTTATTTGGTTGGATGTAAGCAAATGCAGGATATATTTTTTTTTGTTGGGTTTGAAGGAAAATGAATATAATATGAAGCCCAATAGATGTGGCAATTTATTTTGGTGGTTGGCGAGCAGTAGTGACTATTGAGGCCTGTAGGCGGCGACAACGACTGCGGCTTACGGTGTATTTCAAACTTGGCCAAACTGGCTGAGCTTAGAATATACCACAAATTAACCATGGGGTGAGTTTGAAATTCTCTAAAATTTTACATTGCGTTCCTTTTGCATCAAATCAAACACATATTTTCAAAACCCTTTCATTTTAAATATTTTATAGCCATTTTACACCCGACCAGTTGACCATTATATTTGTGAATTCTAGAGAATTGAAATAAAAATGAAAGAAGGGTGAGTATTAATAATACTTGATCTCAGCTAGGCACAAAGGCAATGCGGGAAGTTGCTTTTTGCCACAGTTGACAAAGTGCTAGATGCTGTATGGTTACGCGTGTTTGAGGCACTTTGTACCTCCTTAGGTATTTTGCCTTAACACATTGAGGCGGTTAAAAGAAATTTATATATCACTTATGACCTAAATAAACTACTTTTTAGTATAATGAATATTTTAGGAGTATAATCTGATAATGATTACTAAAATTAATTTTATCTCATTGCAAGTTAAATTTTTTTTAAATAGATTATCTGAAACTACTACTATAAATTATTTAATTTTGTAAGCATTATAGTCTAGTGATAATCTAATCTTTGCCAACATCTCTATTCTATTTTTTATCTTTTATGTTGTGTTTTTCTGAGTTTTTTAGACCATCTTCTTCCTCACTGCTCATTACTCTGAAATTTGAATAACTTTTGCATACATTTGGTCTAATTTATTATCTCGTAGGGATCCATGTTTTCTAACTCTAAAAGTTTCTCTTACCTTACCTAATGTCAAATTAACATAATGAAAAACAAACATATATTTCTATTAGTAACTATGTTTACGATCAAAGCAAGATGCTCACCTTATTTGTTGGGACCTTAAGGTGAGATGCTTGATTTGGCATGACTGTACCATGTTACACATTTGGGTAGTGTGCAAGACATTATGTCCTCACCTTACCTCTCAGGAAGGTATTGACGAATGCTTGGTTTTTCTTGAGAGAAATTTGTGATTCCTTGATGCTCACACCAATGAGCTTAGAAGGTATTCTCAATTGAAGAAAAAATCATGCCTCACAAGCAATAGGAAGGAGAGAGATGGTGTGAGGAGAGAAAATTGCTTAAGTTATATGTATTGCTAAATTGGTTATTATGCTAATCAGCATCCTTGTAAAAATTTGCACATCTATGTGAAGGAGCACAATGAAATTGATGATCCTTATGAATCCAATTGATCATATCGAGTTTAAGAAACTTTTATGATTTGATTAAGAATGGATTTATTATATAGATCACGAGACTTTATATTCTTCTTGTTTTAGTTAGCCTAAGAAAGATGGAAGTTGGTATATGTGTGTGGATAATAGAGTCATCAATAAAATCATCAACAAATTTATATCTTCTTATAGCTCGTTTAGATGATACTTTAGATATGATTACTAGCGTTGTGATTTTTTTTAAAGATTAATTGGATGAGTTGCTATAATCACGTTAAAATGATAGAAATTGTTGATTAGACATATGCTTCATTGATAACAAATGGACTATATGAATGGCTAATGCCTTTAGGTTCAACTGTCAAACCCAATTCTGTCGAGCGGATAATGGATCTTGTCTTGCAATCTTTTATTAAAAAAAATTGTTATTTTCTTTGATGATATTTTGATTTCTACTAATATATGGTCATTTGGTGCATCTTCGAAAAATCTTTTCAGTCTTGCATGCTTAGAAATTATATTTCGATATTGTTGGGGAGTTAGGATTGCGACAAACTTTTGCGACAAACTTAATTTTATTAGGCAATCTAACGCAATGATAAAAAGACCATTATTTGTTGAGGAGAGAGTTAAATGTAGAAGAATTGATGAGATAAATGGAAGAAACGACTTGAGAAGCTTAGAACTATGAATTTTGAACATAATAGAGTTAAGAAGTTGAATAAAAGAAAACATGAAACTTTATGGTTAGGAGAAAGAAGCATCACCGACTAGAAGAGTTTGCTTGATTAAAAGCCATCTTAATCATTATCAACCACCTTAATTGCAACCTTTTGCTACTGTTTTTGCTAGTAGTCGTTTTACTAGTAGTCTTAATTTTATTAGGCAATCTAACGCAATGATAAAATGACACATGCTTATATGAATGCAATGACTCATGACCATGGATTGAATTTGACTCTATAATGTATTAACTTGGATAATTTTTTTTTCCAGAGAAGTCATACTTCTATTTCTAAAATTCAATAATATATGATGCATCACCCTTAATTGGCTAGTATATTATTTAATTTAACTTTTTGACAAAATTGGCTAGTTGTTGGAAACATGGGATGTAAGGAGTTTAGTTAAGCTATTATGTTGCATAAAGTGTAACAATATTTTAAACTCAGATGGTTGACTCATATCTTTGAATATATCAATATTAGATTAATTCTCTTTTTTTTCTTCTTTCCATAGTAATATTTTCAAGTTAGTAGGATAATCACATATTTGTGAATGCCATTCACCTTCATAATTCACTGCTTTTATATGGCGTGACTGTAGCTTTTTATAAGTGAAGAAAATACTTTTTTCAAGGTTGTCGGTATTATAAAATATTTTCTTTTTTTAGAAAAGTCGGATAACATTTGTCATATAGCTATTATATACTACTACATCTAATTGTAAAAAATACTTTCATACCATAGAAATTGTTATAAAGCAATAAAAAGTAGTAATGAAATAGAAACATGATAATGGTCTAAAGAACAAAACAACGAGAAAGTTGACCCAAATACAAAGTTAGTTTTTTAACACAATTAGTTTTGGGGTTTTAAAAAATCCCTTTTTCTGTAAAATTAGATAATCATAGTAGAATAATGAAAAAAAAATATATATTCATCTTTGTTAGTGGGTGCATTTGTATTTGCTTTTGTAAAAGACATGAGGTTATTGCTGGGCATCTGTTAGCATATTTACTGTGTTTTGCATTTACTAGGCCTTAAGTAGACTTCTAATGATTGTAAGGGATAATAGTTAAAATATCCTTTGATTGATAATATAGTTTATATTCTTCATTGTATTATCTTCTACGCCTATTTATGAGCACTCTTACAAGTCAATCATACATAGAAATTTTGTTTCTCATGTCTAAACATGGTATTATAAATCAATTACAAGTTATCAATCTCCTTGCCTTACAACCCACTGTTATGCATTCTAGCTACATCCACACTTTTTATTCTTACGTTATTGTCTACATCTAATCCTTCCCATAGGTCTGTATATGCTTGATCTCGTGCACTTGGGGAGTTCCTTCCTTTGTTGCAACTTCAATCGCATGCCCCACAGCTTTTTATTCTTACGTTATTGTCTACATCTATCGTTCTATGCCGTGTTTCTCTTTATAGTTTTTGTGCCATAGCCTCTGCACTTAACTATTGATTGCACTATTGTCACATCATTTGTGTTAGGAGATTGCGACTAATGGATTAATATCTCTCATCTTTGGGAAATGAATTAGCACTCCAACAACTCTCTCTCTCGCCGCGCCCCCACACACACCCCCTCCCCAATGGTTTTCTATTAATTTATTGATCGTTTTTCGTCTTACATTGTTTCTTTTAGATTCTTAGCTCCAAGAGGGTGATTGGTGGAGGTATTGAAGTTGGTAGGGTCTACTACTAAATGTTGACCTCAATTTTCGTGAGGTCTAGTATTCCATTTAAAAACTCTCTTTTCCTCCTTTTAAGCGCCGACACTCAACAACTACTTTTTCTCCTAGATTTTTTCTCTTGGAGGTATTGAAGTTGGTAGGGTCTACTACTCAACAACTACTTTTTCTCCTAGATTTTTTCTCTAGCATTACTCCTTTTTATTGGCATAGTTGGCTGGGTCTTCCCCCCAAAACACTCTGAGATTTTTTCTCAGTATCCTCTTCAGAAAACACTATCATATATTCTTTTCGAATTTAAATTTTATCTCCATTCTTATTTGTTTGTCTTAATTTACTAATAATTGATCAGCATGCGAACTTAGATCAGGGTTTGGGATCCTAGATCATTCCTTGCTCATCGAAGCTTCTATTCGTTTTGCTTAAATTCCACTTTTAAGGTTATCTTTGTATTTCAAACGTTTTCAAACCTTTTTATAAGAAAGAAAATATCAATATCTACTTTCAAAATAATATTACATATTGATACTGCTTTAGAATCTTTGTAATCTTTATTACTCATCTTCCATATCTTTAATGTATTATACATTGGACTTCCTATTCTTATATGCCTGAACTTAATGGTGCTTGATGTTTCATGTTTGTTTCTTCTCAATGAACGATATGCTAATGATCTCTTTGATGAATTGATTGTAAGCCTATGTGTACTTAAATTATGACAACTGATGAATCTCTTGATGATCCATCTAACTATTTAAGGTTAGTTTTTAAGCTCATTTATGCTGTTATTAGACCAAAAATCTCATTCATTGCTAGATTGGTTTGGTAGTACAGGCAAAATCTAAGTTGGGAAGTTTTTTTTTGCATCTTCGGATATATTAAAAGGTTTCTAGATATAGTGATTGCTATAAACGAAATATGACCTTCTAAAGACTAAAGTTTTCTCCAACGTCATTTATGTTGGCTCTATTGAAGACAATTAGTCAACATCTAGATATTTAAACCTTGTTGGAGGAAATATGGTTTCCCAAAAAAGCAAGAAACATACAGTTATAGCCAAATCTACTGTTGAAACAGGTTACTAGCTTTAACACATTCTGTGAGCAAAGTAATGCAAGTGAAAACCTTTTTGGGAAAGTTTGATTTTTCTGCAGTTAACATATGACTTTATAATGCTTCAATTGTGCCACCATTCACCTTACTGGCAAACTTATTTTTCTTGAACTCATCAAACATAGTGAAGTGGAAAAAAATTGTTACTCCTCATTTCTCCAACTCAGAATATGTGGATAATATTGTAGAAGCACCAACGAACTTGCTATTTTCTCATTTATGTAATAAGCTAGAGTGCATAGATATGTATGCTTCAATTTGAGAGTGTTGGCATATTTAGTAAGTGTAAATAGAATTCTAATAATTTTAGTAGATTCTGGTAGAAGGTTTATTTATAATTGAGATGGATATAATTTAGGTTGTTCATTTCTTTATTTTATTCTTGTGTTTTCCTAGTTTTAGGCACTCTTACAATTCAATACTATAGGAAAATTTGTTTCTCAAATTCTCAACAGCCAACTAATGTTAGTTTCTGTAAGCTCTGATGTCAGCCTTCAAATTTCATGTTTCAATACTATAGGAAAATTTGTTTCTCTTCTCAACAGCCAACTAATGTTAGTCTCTGTAAGCTCTGATGTCAGCCTTCAAATTTCATGTATTCATCTCAAATGAAGTTTTAGGTTTGCCATACTGACTGATGCTCATGCCATAATGATTTTATTTTGATTTTTTTTTTTCAGGCTATGGTTAGATGCCCACTTTCCTATCACTTGCAGTACGTTTAACCAGGATGGATCAATATTTGCTTATGCTGTGAGTTATACATTTTTTAATTCCTATTCTTTTTGGCAAATCATACTGTAAAGATATAATAAGTCTTTAGCATGATTCCATGATGTCAATTTCCTAATTTTGCTTTATATCAACTCGGCTTTTCCTGGAGTGCTCATTTCATATTCCTCCAAATTTCCATGCCTGCTGCAGAATTTATTTGCAGTTTTGTTTTATGGTGCTTTGCTATGCCCGTGATTACCTAGGACGCATTTAAAGATGTTTTTTTTTTGTAAAGTATGCACAGTATTTGCCTGCTTAAAGGTTTTCATTTTCTTTACATTGTTGTGCTATTGTGAATGTCAGTAGCCAACCAGCTAGGAAATCTCTGCTTTCTGCAGGCTGCTCAGGCTGGTCATTTTCAGAAAATTTCACTTAATGAACCTTTAGCTTATCTGGAGTTTTTTTGATACGTAGCGTTTAGAAAATCTTATGAACTCATATGGCCATCCCCTATTCATGACCCTTTTTTGGCAAGTTATTTCCTATTCTCTTGTTTTTACTTTGTTTTGGTTGTTCGTTGGGTCATTAGAGAGACCTGGAGAGGACTCCTTGTGGTGGGGATGAAGTGGGAGTTGGGAATGTGGTCTGGTTGCTTCAATTTTCAACTGCTCGAGCAATCTTTTCCGCCGAAGAGTAAATATGTTTTTTGCTGCAGTTTTGCACCATCATTAACAGTGAAGCTGAGTTTTTATCAGATTTTTTTTTTCTTGTTTTATTTGGTTAGAGAAAGATTTCAGGCTTATCTGATATAATCATAACCAGCTGAGTTTTTACCTGTTGCAATATTAGATGGTTGCTGGTTGATGGCGCCAGTTATATGGAAATAGTATCGTTACTTGATCACCTTATGTTGATTATTTCAGCCTTTATGTCAGATAATCAAACTACAAACTTGTTTTTATACCTTAATTGGCGCTTCAAGACAGTATCAGAATATACGAAGACAAACTTGTTAACGAGGCATTAATTCATTAACGACAAGGGGTTACTTGGTGCACGAGTTGATGAAAAGAGAGTGGCTGAAGCTAGATGGTACATAAAGCAACAGTGTTTCATTTAAAAATAAAATTAAAATTAAGGAATAAAATCACAAAACTAGATGGCTGAAACTAGTAGGTGTTTTAAAAACAATAGTGTTTCGTTTAAAAATAAATAATAAATAAAAAAAAAAAAAGCAAACACTGTTTTTCTATTTGTTTTCTGTTTTTTGTTAAGAAAAAAATAAATAAATCAAACACTGTTTTTCTATTTGTTTTCTGTTTTTTGTTTTCAAAAACAAAAAATCATAAAACACAAATTGATCCCAAACAACCCTTGAGCTTTTTGAATATCAGCTTGGACGTTAAAAGACAGACCACCACGAATTCAACCTAGCATATAATTGTAGTTTTTTATTTAAGCATATGATTGACGTTATTAAATCAATGCTGATATATTTTTTTTCTCTTGGCAAAGTAATTGGTGCATTGGAACATTGTGAAGGAGGCATGAGCATTTTGACAAAAAAAAAAAAAAAAAAAAAAAATTTTTTTTGTAGAAGGTATTTCTCTGTACATCTTGCTATCATGGGATTTGAGGAAGATTTGATACACTGAGCATTGTTTTTATGTTATAATGATGATGATTCCTTGATTTGAACTAATGATCTCTGAAGCAAAGTGGGTTAAAGATTTATTTTTGATCACCCTCTTATCAATGAAATGATTCAAATGACCCATCATTGTGGGCTCCAAAAATTCACGACGGCTCCTCAGAAGAACTCTGCATTTTGTTTCGTTTTTGTTTTGTTGAGAGAGAGAGAGAGAGCTTTGAATGGTCGAATTTTCAAAAGGCAAATTGGATTATAGATAAGTCACTACCCAGAGATTTCACCCTCATTTAGCGATGAATTTTTGATCCGAGGTTCGAGGTTTCTCATAGGAGCAAACACCAATGGTTTAGTTATCCCTCCCGATGACGGGCTAATACTTTCAATTAAGGCTAGTCATTAATAATTGAATATTTAACATATAATAGCAGTGAACCTAGGATTTAAATTGTAGAATTCACCACTTGAAGCCTAAAGTAGGTGGTAAGGGAATGAAGAATAAACCCGGTCAAGATCTCATGGTTTCGTCATTCAGGGTCGTCGTGTTCCTTGATCTACTTAGTCAGAGGGGTTAATCGACTCCACCTGACAGAAGGATTTTTGTCAGCAGCCGTGGGTTACGTCGTTCAAGATATCTTTGTAGATATGGGGTAGATATTTATCTTAGGAAATAAATTTAAGTCGATCTTAATTAACATAAGGCTTTGTGTCAATCAATTGTACATTTATGATTCACAATTCAAAAGATGGAAAACTGTTGGGGAACATACGAGCTGTAGTCGTGACCATACTATAATAGTGTCATTTGGCGGCAACCACATAGTCAGAGGGCTTTGGTCGTAACCGCTATCTTGTGGTGTCATTTGGTGGAAGAACCACACAGATAGAGGACTCGGGCCACGTCCTTATTGATATGCATTTACTTTGATTGTGAATAAATGGATACACTTGATATGACATTAGCTTTTTATAATTTGAAATCAACCAGAAATATCACCCTCGACAAACTATTGTGGAGGGCAGATGAATTTTGCTTTTAGATTTTATGTGATTGAATTATAACTTAAATATTTGGTTGGTTACTTTGAAAATATTGATTTAAAAGATTGACCCATTCGGTTGAAATATTCAATCAATTCGAGATATTGAACATTTTTAAAGTTTTATTAGTTTAAGATTTTCAAAGTATAAGTCCCGTTAACTCCTATTTTTATAGGTAGGAGGATCGAACTAGGGGATTTAAACTTGTAAATTCTTATTTTAGGATTTGAACATTTATTAGAGTTTACTAGACTTGTCAATTCCAGTTCTTATGAGGAGGAGAATCAGACTAGTTGGGTGGGACTTACAACTTTATTTTATAGACAATGCAACCCGATTAGCCCGCGCAATATTCTCGAACCTAGTATTTGCACATTCAATATGTTTGGTTGGATACATGCAAGCCTTTAAATTTGACATATTTGAATTTTTTTTTATAAGCTTTAAAGACTTAAATGAGTTCTAAGTCATGAACTTAATATGAACTTTACAAAAGTTCTCAAGTGGAACCTTTCTATGGCTTAAGAGTGTGGGTTCACATTTCAAGATACCGCATTTAACTTAGGAGATAACACTGAGATTTTGAAATCATTGAGAACTTAAACTGTTTGTAAAATATATGATTTTAAGCTCTTTTTTTTTTTAAAAAAAACCGCCTTCTATTCACTAGCAGGAGTTTTGTGAATTTGGCGGCGATGAGACATACGAAGTCCTTGTTGAGTATTAAAAAAATGACTTATATTTTAAGCTTAGCCTCGTTTTATGATGTTTCATATTTAAGTTAAGCTTGGCCCCCAATTTGTAGATATTGATTTTCAATTTAAGTTTTGGCCTCCCAATTTATGATACTTTATATTCAACTTAAGCTTTACCACCTCTTTATAGCATGTGATAATCAATTTAAATTTAGCACCTCAATTCTTTCACATTTAAGTCATTTAAAGAATTCAAACTTTCCAAATCATTCACAATTCTTGACAATCCAATTTCAAATATTATCATTATCTATTTAAAAATTCAAATAATTCAATTTAAGCCGTTTGCCTTGGAGGTTGTTAAAAGGAAGTCTTTACCACATTATCTATTTAAAAATTCAAATAATTCAATTTAAGCCGTTTGCCTTGGAGGTTGAGCCGTTTGCCTTGGAGGTTGTAAATAATTCAATTTAAGCCGTTTGCCTTGGAGGTTGTTAAAAATTCAAATAATCCGTAAGCCTCTTCTTATTCTAATCCTTTGCAGTACAGTGGTGATGAGAGCACAGGGGAAGCAATGATGGTATAGAAACCTGAAATCTCTTCTTTCTCCATGTAGATGTTTGAAGCCCTCGTGTATCCCCCTTTCTTGTCAAAAACCCTCGTCTGACTCGGTCGCAAGTAACAAGGAAATCAACGAATATATTTTTATACACAAAGGCTTATGAAGCTCCTTCCTGTTTGACCCAGCAACAATCCCCGTTTTCCCATGCCCGTCCACTTTATGATCAGGTTGTTCCTAATGCATTTGAGCAAGCTACCTTTGGAGGAGGTCCTTGTGGGCTATTTGGAGGTGTTGGATTTGGGCCCCATTAAATAACCTTTTTTTTGGTGGGTGGTGAAATAGATGATAAAAATTTTGATTGATGCATTTGCACATGCAACTTGATAATGATTTGGAATTGGATTGTCAAAACGCTCTCTTTCTTGCTTTTCCTGTGAAAGATGCCATCTTTTACATACAAAAAACCAAGAGGTTGCGACCCTATTCTTTGGTTCGAACGCACGAAGGAGTAAGTCGAGGGTTTTGAATCGAATAGGAAGATGAAATGGGTGGTCTTCACACGCCGCGATCCCGTTGTGGCATTCCTCGCTAGTGAGTCGTGAATGTATTGCCCGAGCTTCTCTCGCAATCCGTAAAGATGGCCGTGAGGTTTCTTTTTTAGCCTGCCCCCTCTCTGGTTTCGTCTACATTAGAGAAGTTATGGGCCTTCTTCTTTAGAAGCGGGAGTAGTTTCGAAGTGCATGCGGGAGCAGTTGCGTGAAAAGCAATTTAAAAAATGTATGAAATTAATTTTAATTAAACTTAATTAGTATCATTAAATATTATTAATTTTAATAAATTTTCAACGTCAACAATCATCATGATTAGTCTAATTATTTTGGGATTGGGTTTTTGAATGATTCTCCGTTCACTTCTTGTTGGATGTTTAGTAAGTTTTTATTTTTAATATATTTTACTATTATTATTTTCTATTGCTAGAAGTTAGAATTATTAGTATGTCATAATTCTTGCGCTCTTTTATCTTGAGGAGTTATAACTGATCTTATTACTTTCCTAATGTGGAAGCCACCCATTCTATTTATCTTGCAATCTT